TCCTTTCTGTTAAACCACTGGGATGATTCTATTCAAGACCATAAAAAAGAACTCACAGCAACTCTATTAGCAATAGCCCGCCTGGCCATTGCTGCAAACTGGAAATCTCCAGCAGCACCATCAGTGACAGACTGGCAGGACAAGCTTTGGGAACACCTTGTCATGGCAAAAATTGCTGATTTGCTCAGGTGTGCACAATCAAATACCCCACACCACTCCACATTTGTGTCAACTTGGTTCCCTGTAGTCTCCTACTTACAGATTTTAGATATTCTCCCCCCTAACCCTCTTTATCTGAAGTGGTTAACCTTGTAGGTTTCAACTTTTACCATTTAGATGACATTCTTGTAGATGGATGCACTGTATTATGCTGTATTGTACATTAATTTAAAATTAATAAAGATTTTTTTAAAAATGGATACTGATCCAAATTCCCCTCACATGGCTGCTTTTGAGCAAAAAAAAAAGTCACAGAGAAATGTTTTGATAAATTAAAAATACATTGAAAGATCCAGTCATGGATCACCCCCCTTAACACACTCTTTGGGTCTGGGAGAGAACAGACTTCTAGAACGGGGCTAGTTCAGGTGTTTTAATGTTTTTATGGTGCCACCCTGGGGGCTCTGATTGTGTGGAAAGGTAGCATAAAAATGGTTTAAAATAAAGGAACTAATAATTATCGGATAGCAGTGGGTGTAGTATAGCCAGGAGATCCAAAGATTGTCTGGCAGTCTGCAACCTCTAGCTCTTTTTGTGAGGAGTAAAGTTTCTGTGTTTTGACTGAAAGAACTGTGCCTGACCCACGGTCACCCAGCTGCCTTCATGTGCAGGAGTGGGGAACTGAACCTGGTTCTTAGTCTGTTAACCACGACACTAAACTGGCTCTCATAAAGGAACGAGTGGGCAGTATCATTTGGTGCTGAAAGTCCACTGAGTCCCCATAACGGAAATCCAACCCTGGATCTTTCTGCGGATTAAAGGACAGTTTGAGTAATCATGTCCCTACCAGTGTTCCCTCTAAGCTGGGTTAGTGTGAGCTAGCTCACGGTTTTTTAGCCTCCGGCTCACACATTTTTGTCTTAGCTCAGGAAGGGAGGGCTCCAGAGCAAACTAGTTTATGCAGCAGCCGAATCGCTTGCTCACAATTTCAATGCCAGTAGCTCACCAAGTAGAATTTTTGCTCACAAGACCCCACAGTTTAGAGGGAGCATTGATCTCTACCACTACCATTTGACCTACAATTTGTGCAGAATCAAGCAAAACATTTATTGGGTACAAAACACCAATGGTTTCACGGAAGCCACAGTGCCAGGGAAGCTGCAGGGCCCAAAGTGTGCTGTGTGGAACTATGACGACATCAGGGGTGTTGGATGACAATTCCTGGTAGTCGGGCATGTACACGCACAGAAATACCTGTCACATGGTGGGCCAAAGAGCCAATAGCCTAAATACAGACTAACTGGTAGGTATCAATCCAGAAGCTTTAAAAAAATTGCAAATGCCTCAAGCAAGTTCACAGATGGTTTGACATACAGGTTGTCGGGTGGGGGGGGGGGGGGAAGACATTGCATTCCCACCCGGGTACAGAATTTTTTAATTGGCTCTGCTAACTAAACAGAGGCAGCCTGTCCATCCTTTTTTGTTGTTGTTTCTAATTGCAACAGTGGACCTACCTGCACAGGTGACATGATTGAGGTGACATGATTGAGGTTTATAAGATCATGCATGGGATAGAGCAAGTAGAGAAAGAGGTACTTTTCTCCCTTTCTCACAATACAAAAACTCCTGGGCATGCCATGAAATTGCTGAGCAGTCAGGTTAGAATAGATAAAAGTGCCTTTTCACCCAAAGAGTGATTAACACATTCACTGTCACAGGAGGTGGTGGCAGCTACAAGCATGGGCGGCTTCAAGAGGGAATTAGATAAGCATATGGAGCAGGGGTCCATCGGTGGCTATTAGCCACAAGGTATAGATAGGGACTCCGGGGCAAGTGATGCTCTGTATTCTTGGTGCTTGGGGGGGGGTCAATAATGTGAGGGCTCCTAGTGTCCTGGCCCCACTGCTGGACCTCCTGATATCACCTGGTGTTTTTGGCCACTGTGTGACACAGAATGTTGGACTGGATGGGCCACTGGCCTGATCCAACACTGGCTTCTCTTATGTTCTAGGTCTGCCAGTCCACAGAGGTCCATAGGTGGGGCTTGTGTCACTCCTACACCTTTGCACTTATACGTTCTACGCACCAGGCCATATACAAACCAGCTCACACGATATAAAGGTAAAGGTTCCCTTGCTCGAAAGCCAGTCGAGTCCGACTCTAGGGTTGCGGTGCTCATCTCCGTTTCCAAGCCGAAGAGCCAGCGCTGTCCGAAGATGTTTCCGTGGTCATGTGGCCGGCATGACTAAACGTCGAGGCGCACGGAACGCTGTTACTTTCCCACCGAAGCGGTACCTATTTATCTACTTGCAATTTCTTGCTTTCGAACTGCTAGGTTGGCAGGAGCTGATATACCTAACAATAAAAAAT